GTTATGTAATGTTAAATAAAAATTCACACAACTTCTTCAAAACGTATATAAAATAATTCAGTTTTTAGGAAAAAAATGTTTTATTAAATGTTATGCAATGTAAAAAAATTGTTCCCATAATTCAAATATATATTTCACACCATTTAAGAAAGATATGTGAAAATTCAAAAATGTTCATGTGTTTCCAAAATATGTTTTTCATTTTCTACAAATAATTTTTAAAAAAATATTAAACTATATAAAAACAATGTTTTGTAGCATTCAAAGAGGTTAATGTTCAACAATTATTTTAAAAATATTTAACACATATTAAAAATATGTATTTGAAAAAAGGTTCATCATGTATTTAGAAAATGTTCAATGTGTATAAAAAATATTACATGTTTCTACAAAAATGTACAATATTTATATCAGATGTAGCCACGTGTTAAAAAAGCAAAAAGAAAAGAAAATTGATGAAGCAATACATAAGACCGGAGAAAAACAGTGAAGGAAACACATAATAAAACAAGAAAAAAAACCACCGAAAAAACTTGTCAAAACTACTACATAAACAAACAGGACAGGAATCTGGGTGAGGAGGATATGGAGTGACACAAAGTAGTAAGAGGTGGGCAAGTATCGAACAAAGAAATGGAAGATCGACAAAAGAAGAGAAGGGGATCTAGGATGGAGTTTGATTGATAGATAGATGTAGACGGGGAGAAAAAAGGGGATCCGGGAGAAGAACATGAGGGAAGGAGTTCGAATATGGCATAACGCCAGTCGCCGAACTAACACCGGAAATCGCCATGGAGGCAAGTCGTGCCGCTTCCGAGCGGTCCAGTCTACCACAACAACAGGTGAAACCTACTTAGGATTTGCAACAAAAGAAATATAGCTACCGGTAATGGGGTGCCCCCATACAGTTTTCTCTATGGGATTTTTACACTTTTTTGTTCTGCCATATGTGGCCTTTCCTGTTTGACCCCTGAAGATCCCAAGTACTTGCTCGTGGAGTGTTGTTTGTAGGGACTCCACGGGCAAGTACTTGGGATCTGCAATGATCAAATGTTTAGGTATAACTGACCTTTCTTCCCTGGAGGCGATGGCATGCCGGGAAGTGTTGGTACTCGCCCTTGAACTATCGCTAATGGATGTGGTGATTGCTTCAGACTGCCAAGGAGTGGTCAATGATATTCATATCGATACAGGTGGACTATATGCAAGCATCATCAAGAAGATCAATCATACATCCAAGTAGATAGCTCGTTGTTCCTTCAACTTCGAAGGAAGAGAGACTAATATCGACGCGCATAGCCTCGCTAAACACGCTCTAGGCTTTTCTCTAGAACGCCATGTGTGACCCTGAATGTTCCAGACCTAAGTTGTATCCCCATGAACTTATTACTTGATCAATATAATGGAGTGTGTTTGGAGTAAAAAATGGTGGGGCCTTTTTCACCTCTCTTTTATCGTTAGAAGACTTTGAGAGCAGATCCGTGTTGCTGGGTTGTCTCTCATATGTGTTATTTTCTTATCTCACCTTTTACTTTTCAGTTCTAATTTTTTTTATGTTTCTTTTATTTTTATAATATTTTTTCCATGTTCATACGACGAATACAAGGGTGCAATTTCAGTGTGTTTATATTTTTATTACGCAAACACCCACAAGTGTCCGAGTTGCATATTTATCACATTGTAACCCAAGTGTAACTGCATGGGCATAAAACGACTTCAAACGGGGTCGGGAGGGTATTGACGGGCTACTAGACATGCAACTGCAAGCGTTGTAACTCAACTGCAACTGCGCGCACAAAAGTGACTGCAACTAGGGCCGGAAGGGGAGTTGCCGACGCCAGTTGCATGTCGACCACTACATGCAACTGCAAATGTTGTAATCCAACTATAAGTCCAAGGGCACAAACCGGTTGCAACTAGGTCGGGAGGAAAGTTTTTCGTGGCCAATTGCATGTCCATCAATAGACATGGAACCGCAAACATTGTAACCAAACTACAACTCCATGGGCACGAATCAATTACAACTAAGGTCGGAAGTGGAGTTTGTGGGGACCAGTTGCTTGTCCACCACCAAACATGCAATTGCACGGGCGCAGAGCGACAACAATTAGGGCTGAGCTGATTTTTCTTCTACTTGTCGCATGCACACAAGTTGCATGAGTCGCACCCATGAGTTGCAACTGTGACAAGACATATGCAACCAGTGCCGACCTGGTCTTTTCCCTACTAGTCACACATGCGCGACTTGGATGTGACGCACCAATGCACAATTGCAACCATCGCAACACGTAGGCAACTAGCGTCAACCTGATTTTCCTACTAGTCCATGTGCATGAGATGCATACGACACACCGGTGCACAATTGCAAATGCCTAACTAGACAAAGATAAAGTACCAAACTGACAAGCAGAACAAGACAATAGCTCAGTAGGGAAGTGAATGAGAGGTAGTTATATCTCGATGAGTTCTAGGCACTACCAAGAATAAATAGAAAATATATGTTTTCACTTACAAAATAAAGATTTTTTCCTTTTATTTTCCTTGTCTAATGGAAGGTATACACATTAGATGGACCAAACACACAATAGTAGATCTTTCACAATGGTTAATCTAATGGTTCATCCTCGATTTTGGAAATCACTTGTACGAATAACCAAGACCATATTCACAATACAAACATTTGCTTCCCATCTAAGAAACAAAAGGTAGGAGTCTTCTTGTCGATAACATCTTAGATGTCGGTACCATTGTCTTCAATTATAGCACAAAATCGGAGCCGTTATGATCAAATGTGTCGTAAAAGTAGCCTCTCTTGCAATATGGGGCATCTTAGACCATGTGGTTAGATCATAATGGCCAAGCATATGGATGTTGGTACAAACATAGTCTAATAGAACAAAGAGCGGACAAGATGACCCCGGGACTCATTGATGGTGATAGACCCTATAAATGATCCTTTTTTACAAAAAGACTGGTTTAGCAAAATAGATCAAACAGATTATATATTATCAAAAGGAAGTGAGCTGTTTCAAAGACCATTCAACAAGTACCTCGCTAAATAGTGTCTCATCTACGCTTCATTTTATACATTTTTTTATCAAGAAAAAAGACCACAATAAACTCTTCGATTTCTGTCATCGGGAACCTAGGAAATGAACAAGTCCAAGAACCCACAACCCACTGTCAAATAGTACGAGTAGAACAAGCTACTTTGTCGAACCTACACACTACCCCACCTATCAGATAGAATGTTAGGGGGCACAGGGTAGGCTACTCTAACACAATACGAAGCATTTCTACCTTGTGCCATCCAAGATCATGCTATCGGAAGGAGATCGCGTACGTATCACTCGACACGTGCATACTGGTAGAGGGAGTAGACTCGACGAAGCTCGTCGCCGTACTTGTATTCATACGTCTCCACTTCTCACCAGATTCGTCTAAGCATGACACGAGCCACACCTCCAAAGTGTATCCACAAATACGTGTCTAAGGACTAAGGCTGGTCATAGTGGGGAGTAACTTAGACTAGTGTCATGCATATGACATTAGTCTAAGTTACTACCTTCGTAATGCAAAGTAATATACTAGTAATATCATAGATGACTTCATTTATTAGCTCGTAGACTCATCTTGTCTTGAAAAACGTTATGTTACAGTAACATATTATGTTGCCATCTTTCATTAGTTACTTGCCACATAAGCAGAATTTTCTTGAAGTGCGCTATGTTACTAGCTAAGTTACTCCCACTATGACTAGCCTAATGGTGGACTTCTTGGTTCCTTGCCATAGGCCATTGGAAAGGAGACAATGGCACTGGGTTGGTTTCTCTAAAGCCTAGAGTGGGTCCAGGCATTACTAGCTAGAACCCGAGGTGAAGATATTGATACCCATCTACTTTAAAAACGGATCGTTTGGCAGGCATGCGGACATTAGATCTCACTTGAGTATCTGGGAACGACAACTAGCCATGCCAAACATGTTTGTAATTGGGCAAGTTTTCATACGGTAATTGTCCACATATCTTTACCTAATAATAAAGCAAATTGGATTTCTTTCGTCCGTCATGGCATTTTTCAGAAAAGTCCCTCTATTTCAGAGAATTCAACCCGCAGTCCAGTTTTAAGTTAAAACGAATCATTATTTTCGTATTTTACATAAAAGTCCATGTCTTTTCTTGAAATCAACCCGCCGTCTGGATTTAAGTCACACCCGAACCGTTATTTTACATTTTTCAAAAACCCCATAATGTTTTAGGTAATTCATCCGCCGATCATATTTAAGTCAAACAAATGCTTTTTAAAATCATCCATATCTTTTAAACCGTAACTCCGATTTGAACATGTTATATATGAAATTTGATTAGAAAAATATGTAGAATATGAATATGAGATTATTTTTACCTATTAAGTATTTTTAAATATTATTTTGGAATATATTTAAGTCAAACCAGATGATTTTTTAAATTATCTGTATCTTTTAAACCGTAACTTCGATTTTAACATATTATATATGAAATTTTATTAGAATAATGTGTGGAATCTAAATATGATGTTAATTTTACCTATTAAATATTTTTATGGAAACAAACTTATAATTTATAGCGCAATATCTTTTTTAATACCGGCGGCGATCCAGATTGCAAATAAACACCCCACTATAACCATATAGGGAAAAGAAAACATTGATAACTACACATGCATACCTCTAAAAAATGTCGCAAGGGAAAACAACAGATTTCTCATCACGAAAGAGAGAGAGAGAGACGCCTTAGGATTAACCATATTCAATACATATTTTTTGTTGTTTTGTGTGAACACCGAGGCCATCACCGGCGAGGGTGAGAAGGAGGATAAGCGGCAACACAAATATGATGCCTTGCAAAAATAAAGGAGATGGACCTATTGTGGTCTTAAGTGATGGTTGTTGAGTTAAGAGCGTGCGTTATGTTTTCTCTCCCGTTGCAACGCACGGGCTCTTTTGCTAGTATGTTACAAAATTACATATCATAGAGAACCTTGTACTCTGCAGACGAGACAAACTTGGTAAGTTTTGAACATGAATTTTTTGTGGTGGCAATTGGAGGCTGAGTGTATGAACCTCTTAGCAGACCATCAGCAATGGCCTTGTATGACGTTTCTGTGGGATGCAAGCCATCCCAAGATGCATACTTTTGTGGGTTATCACACATCTTGTATTCTCCATGTCCACACTTTGTGGTTATTGACACACCATAAGGCCCTTCTACACCGCAGCAAGCCACCAAAGGATCCTCGATACCTAAAGAGCAGTTACAGCAAATGAGAGTCGGGACTAGCATATGCATCTTTTAGTAGAGAATGTTTTTCTTGCTGCCTTCTAAGTGATTTCATGTATAAACCATAAAGTTTTGGACCCACCAAACTGATAAGGGGAAACGAAGATTTCCGTAGCAGCTCCATAGTAATCAGCATAGATGATTGACACACTTGGATGAAGCTTTCTTAACTTTTCCAACTCATCCACAAAGAAGTTTGTTGTGGTAGCGTGAGAACTCATTCATCCAACGAATACAACATGTCTCTGACTCATAATCCTCCATGTTATCACTTTGGTGCATCGTGAGGTACACCGGCAAGCACCCGATGGGGAGGTTGCCGGGAACTAATAGAGTTTTGGCTCCTAGTGCAATCAGATCCTGGAAATTGCACCTCGTTACATTGCATTATTATGTAGTTATGCACTATTTATGTAATTGAGATTTGACATAATAACAATGGCGATGATAGCATAAGGAGCAAAAACAGAAAATGACTCACGATGATTGTAGATGATATTTTGGAAATAACACTCGGAGTGAACAAGCGGATCTTCTCAACAGGCACCAAAGAGGTAAGAGGAATGTTGTAGTCATTTCCCCCAATTTCTCCAACCAAAAAAAGAGAATTGTTCATCATGTCCGCACAGTCTGTTGCATAAACACGTTACTTTATCAATGCGGAAAGGTAACATCTTAATAAATTTAGAAAATATATCGAAATAGAAAATACAACATTTTATGGTAGCAAAATAGTGAAAAGGTGTACAACAATTTAGATCCATTTTTTTCTGATTCCGCTGTAGAGGAAATTTGGAAGTCTATATCTTTGACTTTGAACGCCAAAGTTGTCTCCTCTGGATAATAGTAATGTTGTTGTCATTTGGTAAAACAAACCAATTGTAGGTTATTTACCGTTCCTGTTGAAATTTCTAAAATCAAGCTACAACCTCAATATATTAGCATAATTTGGGCATCAATATGGACCTTGGAAATTATTGGGCTAGGCCCATTAATTATCACAAAAAATTCCCAATAAATCTTGAAGGCCCACTCATGCATGCCGACTCCTATTTGACGCCCTCGGCACCTGTTATAGGCAAATCCTATTTAGCGCTGCAGGCGCTGGTTTCTTCTATTTCTGCAAACCGGCGCCTGCAGGCTCCTTAGCTGGGCTCGGCCCATTTAGCATTTCCTTTTGTCTGTTTTAAAGTGCAAAAATGTTGCCAGCGAAAGAATCGACCCTCAGCACCTGTTATAGGCAAATCCTATTTAGCGCTGTAGGCGCCGGTTTCTTCTATTTCTGCAAACCGGCGCCTGTAGGCTCCTTAGCTGGGCTCGGCCCATTTAGCGTTTCCTTTTGTCTGTTTTAAAGTGCAAAAATGTTGCCAGCGAAAGAATCGACCCTCAGCACCTGTTATAGGCAAATCCTATTTAGTATAACCATCGTTAACTTATCGATTGAAACTGCTTCCATCCTTTTTGTTCTTTCCTAGTTCGCATCTCTTCTTCTTTTTCTATTTTTCTGTCCTTTTCTTCCTTTTCTATTTATTTATTTTTCTGAAATGCGCAATTTAAATCCATGAACTTTTTCTTCATAATCAACGAACTTTTCTCCAAATTTATGAACCATTTTCAAAACTTGTGAACATTTATTAACATTTGATGAACTCTTCTCAGAAATCCATGAACTTATTTTTCAAATTCGATGAACTTTTCTCAAATTTAACGAACATTTAAAATTCGTTGAACTTTTTATGAAAATCAATGAACTTTTTTCAAATTTTGATGAACTTTTTTCTAGTTTGATGATTTATGTTTTCAAATTTCATGAACTTTATCTTAAATTCGATGAACTTTTCTCAAATTTGATGAACTTTTTTTTTAAAATTGGTGAACTTTTTTCAAAATCAATGAGCTCTTTTCAAAATCGATGAACTTTTATCAAAATCGATGAACTCTTTCTCAAATTTGGTGAACTCTTTCTCAAATTTGGTGAACTTTTTTAAAAAAGTTCAATGAACTTTTTTAAAATTCACGAACTTTTTCCTTTTTTTGAAGTTTTCTTTTCATTTCATTGTTTATGTGAATGTTTTTTAATATTTATGTTTTCTTTAGTCAAATAATCCATGGTTCATGTAAATACCCAGTTTTCCTTAAGTAATCAAAGAACTAAACATGGTCTAGCGGTTAACTCGTGTAGGGCACTACCGCTGCGTCCTTGGTTCGAGTCCCACTTCTCCCCGAAAGTAACGTCACATTTTGCACTCTCCTTTTGCTTTGCAGCACGTTGCTGGGCCGGCCCACTTCGCGTCCGTGCGAGCGCCAGCGACACGAAGCGGCGCCTACAGCGCTCAATAGGAACTCTCCCTGTTATAGGCCATTCCGTAAACCGGCGCACACTCCACTACAAACTGGGCTGACCCATTCATTTTTATTTTCTTTTCTTTTAGCCTTCAAAAAATGGGTGTCCAACGTGAGAATCCAACTCCAAACCTCTTGCGAACCAACCTGTGATTGAGATGGGAATGTAACGTCACATTTTGCATTCTCC